GACTTCACTAAAATAAAAAAGACTTCTGCTTTGTGAAAGACATTGTTAACAGAATGAAGAGAAAAGCCACAGGAGAATATTCTGTGAAATATTTGCAAAACAGATCTGATAAAGATTTGTATCAAAAATATACAAAAAAACTCTTACAACCCAACAATTAAAAAATAAATAACTCAATTAAAAATGGGCAGAAGAAAGCAATGATATCACTATATATCTATTAGAATGGCTAAAATCCAAAAACCTGACAATATCATGTGTTACTGAAGACATGGAGCAACAGAAGCTCCCATTCATTGCTGGTAAAAATGTAAAATGATATAGCTACTTTAGAAGAGAGTCTGGCAGTTTCTTACAAAGTTAAAGTGAATCTTAACATATGATCTAGCAGTCTTGCTCCCAGGTATTTACGCAAATGAGATGAAAAATTTACACCCACATAAAAGCCTGAATATGAATAGCTATAGTGACTTTATTCAAAATTGCCAAAGACTGGAATGCACCAAAATATCCTTCAAAAGGTTATATACCACCTTCAAAATGTGGTACATCCATAAAATGGAATATTATTCAGCAATAAAAAGAAAAGAACTATCAAAAATGAAAATACTTAAATTCATATTGCTTAGTGAAAGAAGTCAGTCTGAAAAAGCTATATACTTGTGTGACTTCAATTACATAGTATTCTGGAAAAAGCAAAACTATACAGACAGTAAAATGAACAGCAGTTTCCAGAGGTTTGGTGTAAAGATAGAAAAGATGAATATGTAGAACATATGAGATTTTTAAGGCAGTGAAACTATTTTGTATGATACTGTAATGATGGATATATGACATTATGTATTTGTCAAAATCCACAGAACTGTACAACACAAAGAGTGAACCTTAATATAAACTATGGACTTAACATCATATATCAATACTGGCTCATCAACAAATATACTACACTAATGAAAGACTTTAATTAAAAAAAAGACACATTAACTGCTCAACTTTCTGTAAACATAAAACTGCTCTAGAAAAAAGTCTATTAATTTTAAAAAATCTTATGAGCAATCACACAAAATATTATTAATTATCCAGTATGTGTTTTTAGAAAATGAAAGTTATACCATACATATAGTCATTTTAGTGATACAAATTCTTGGGGAAAAAAAGAATAATTTTCCCAAATTAACATTAGAAGACAAATGTTTCTGAAAGCGTTAATTTCTATTCTACAAAAGGCAAAGTAAATCAAGTGAAAAGCAAAAACAAAAACAAAAAATACTTTGTCTCTTGCCATATAGTCATCCCTGGCTCCTGCTATACATAGAAATCAGTGATGAGCTCTATCTTCACCAAAAAAAATCACAAGCAATGAAAAAATCCACTTTTGCCTATTTCAGTTGAAAACAACATAAAATTACAAAATCAATTGAACACAACTGAAATAATATCTCAATATGCATTCTATTATCATATATTCCTGAACTTTTTAGAAAGGTATCTTAATTTATGAGCATTTTTTGAGAAGCTACACATGTATGACAGGAAAACATGCTCTTAAAAAGTCTGTTGTTGGGAAAAAAAAAAAAAAAGTATGTTGTTGAGACTTCCCTGGCAGGCCAATAGTGAAGACTGTGCTTCCACCAGAGAGGGCCCAGGTTTGATCCCTAGTGGGAGAACTAAAATCCCACAAGCTATATGGAGAAGAAAGAGAAGGAGAGGAGAGTTGAGAGGATAGGAGAGGAAGGATGGAAAGGATGGAAGGGGTGGAAAGGGGAGGGGAGGAGAAGAGAAGAGACAAAAGGAGAGGAAGAGAAAGGAAGGAAAGAAGGAAGGAAGGAAGGAAGGAAAAAAAAGGTTGTTTTTTTTTAAAACCAGACATGTTCATCTGATGTACTCCTTACAACTCCTGCTGATTTTAATATACAAGAATGCCAGGACCAGTGGTCTAGGACTAATGGTGACCAAACCAATTGAAAAGATTTTTGCAAGTCATCTTTAGCAGTACAGTTCAATGAGAGGGGAGCGAGCAACTGCTTATAAAAATCAAAAGCAAACCAAACAGACCAAAACAAAAGAAAAAGTACCTCCTAAACTACCCTTAACTAACAATTGGTTTCTTGAATTCCTTATAGGCACTCTAAATCAGCATAATGGAATCAGCATTCTGATCTTTATTTACAAAGATTAGAGTATTGCTGCAAAGCAGTATCTAGCAGGCTTTGGGCTGTTTTTCTGGTTACTGGAGACGGCCTTGTGCTTATTCAGTCATACTGCCCTTAGCATCTGGGGCTAAGTTTGCTCCAGAAGAGAATAAAGCTAACTAGTCCACATGGGGATTGAATACATGACCCTGGCCTAATTAGCACCCTGCTAATCAACCACCAAAATAGCTGCCATTACTTACAAGGTGTTTCCATTTATAGACCACCTTATATGTGTCAGGTATTGTGCTAAATGTTTTATGAACATTTTTGCTCAAATCTCACAAAAACCTTTCAAAGTAGATACTATCCCTGTTTTACAGATGTTCAAACTGAGAATCGGAATAGACAAGACAGAAAAACTGTAAAACAACTTTGTCCATGATAAATGAAAGTAATCGAAAGATCTAAGTTCAAATCAAGTCTGTCTGTGTCAGAAGGTTTCCATGCTTGTATATAACAAGACTGTACTACGAATCAACTCCAAATCAAAAGGTGTTATGTAACAGAACAAAGCAGAAAGATGTTACTCTTGATCTGAAAACAGTATTTTAAAATTCTGAATGTCTTCATTCACAAGTTATCCTATGATGAAAACAAAAGATGGATGTGATTACTATTACTATGAACATCTTTTTTCACAAAGTATTTCAGATTCATTCATAATAGCTTAACTAAGAGGGTGACAAATATTAACCAAAGAAGAAAATATTCTGGAAATACAAGGAAAATAAAAACAAATACCAATGCCTTAAAAGAAATCTAAATACTAATTAATAATTTTCAATAAATTCTTCAAGGTAAGTAGACTTGTTTTTTTTTTTTTTTTAAGAACCAAAAGAAATTTATTTACAAAATTTCTTACTTGACTGATGGTGAGAACCAACAAACCATCAACTAAGATCCCACTACTTCAAGTCAGTTCACACAAGAGAACAACCACTGCAGTTTCTGATAATTAGGCCAGAAAGATGTCCTTCTGCATATCCTTCCACTAAAAAAGGAGATATTAATACAATTGACCACAGGGACCTGTGCAAGTAGCAACATGGTACTTGCAGACTCACGAATCATACCTTCTAGAGTGCTGTTCCCTGACTACCTCACATAGTTGTTTCACTACTTTTGTTGATTTCTTTGTAGGCTTCTTTCTCTTTTTCTCCTTCTCTGTTGGCTCCTTTTTCTTCTTCTCTGCTGTTGGCTCCTTTGTCTCCTCCATTGCTGGCTTCTTTCTCTTCTTTGTCCTTAATACCAGTATAAACTGCTTTGTTATAACCTTCTCAATTTCGAGCAATTTCAATGGCAAAAAATTGTATCCTGGGTGCAAAGATGGTGTTTTCTTCAGTGTAGCCCTGTGAACAGTTCAGTCGCAGCAAAGTACCATAGTTGAAGTCTTCCACAATCCCATCGAACTTCAAGCAGAATGGCCTCCACTTCTCTTTAGCTGTTTCTGATTTGAGTTCTTCTGGATCCAGTATATCTATCCTGAGATTCTTAAAATTTTCCCGAAACTCAGAATAGATTTGGTCATCCACTTTGGTGAGTTTCAGGAACTGTGGGTCAACTGATGAAATCAGTTTGTAGTAGATTTCAGCATGCTGCATTGCTCTCATGGCCCAAGCCATCTCGATATCAGGATCGTTGCCATAAGACTCGGCTGGGAGAGAAAGAGCATGTGCCACTGACACCAGTTCCCCGGAAACCAACTCCTCAGTTCCACCGGTCGCCTCCATGTTGCAGCCCACCCAAGGTAAGTAGACTTGTAAAAAACTTTAATTCAAGGCAATTAAACTGAACTGAAAATGTAAAAGTGCTCAGCGGGGCAGAATGAGTACTGGTCTGACTAGAGATAAAAGGAAAGTTGCACTGCAGCATCTCATTGATGATGAGATGGGTTTCTCTGGGTAAGGAAAGGATGAGTGGTGAGAAGGTGGGGGCTGAGCATTCCCGCTTAAGGGACCACTGTGAGCAAAGCCCGGTGCACCAATGCTTACAAAAACAAGTAGCCAGAATTATTATAGTATGTAATGTACTACAGAATGACAGCAGGACGTTGAAAATGATAATTTGAGATCACATCCTAGATAATCCTATCATCTCACTAAGGAATTATGGTTAATTTGGTAAAAGATGAAAAGCTAAAGTAACTCTTTGAGAAGGCTATTTGGGTAGTAATAACATATCTCTAAACTCAATCTCGGAGCCTGAGCTGATATTCTGGCTTTGTTACTTTAGTTGTAGACTGTGCACCAGTTCCTTAATATATATGTGCAACAGTTTTCTCAATTCTAACAAAATAAAATAAATAGTACCAATTTTTTAAGGACTGTTAGGAAGATTCAGTGAAATAACACATGTCAAGTGCTTAAAACAGCAGCTAGCATGAACTCCCAGTATTAGTTACAAATATACCCCAAACCTACTTCAATTCAGCACTGCAGAACCAATGAGACAATAAAATTAGTTCTAACAGAAGGAAGCCCCAGGAACCGTGTACCGTGTATCTAAGATTAAAAAAGGGGCAACTGCAAAACCATTAGAAACCTATATAAATAATTTTTTTTTTGCATAAAGCCTATGATCTATTATAGTTCTGACAGGAAGTTCTTTTTTAATCACATCAGTTTATTAATGCCTCAAATTATCTTTTCTCAAGGTAGTTATAAAGAAAGAATCCATATGTGTTAAACTGGCTTTTCATTCTTACAGTCTCTGGAATATTATACTTTGAATATCAAACATAGCAAATCTAAGTGGAATCCTGGGCATTTCTGTTAAAATTATATATTAGCAGAAAAACACAAAAACCTGTGATGTACGGGTCTTTGCAAGAGGAGAAGTACATGCTTCTTGAAATTGATCTTCATTAATTCCAATTTCTTTAAGGTACGTTTCTAACAGCTTTTCAACCTAAAAAAAAAGTTTAACTTTTACAATTTACATTGAAAGATTCCAAATGAGTTTTTATATTGAGTTTAGAAAAGTATAATCAAATGCTTGCTTGCAATTATCAATCTACATAAAATTATATTATATGGCAGTGACAATCTTTTTCACCAAAAAAAAACCCAAACAACTAAAAGTGAAAATCTTTGCAGAGAATCAAATGAAATTTCCTCTACCAGAAATAACTGGTTAGGATTATGAAGTCTGATTTGGTATAATCCTTGTGCTACCCAGGCATTTCTTAAAATCTCAAGACAACAGGGTGAAATTAATAATGAACACTTCCCTGGATATACCAGCAGAAGAACAGGAATAAAATTTAAAGATCAGATGCAAGATCCCTTAAAATAGTTGTCCTAAATCTATTCCTTACATTCTAGAGTTTTATGGAGGAAATGCACAGAGAACTCCTGGAGTCATATGCAACTGATAGCACTACTAGGGTAGACTGGAATTTTTTAAGGAATTTAAATGGACAAGTCTATTTTTTAAATTTAGAACAGACTGAATTAATATTATTCAAATTATATTTAAAATCAGTTTTAAAATACTCACTAGTTCTTTGTATTCCTGATGAATCTCTGTATAAGTCAATTTGCTTTCTTCTTCATCATCAAAAACTAAATTTAAAAGAAAAATATTGCATAGTGTAAAAAATTTCATTAAATATGAAAGTCAGCTCCACAAATAGAACTTACAAATAGAACAATCATTCTTGTAAACTGGCTCTTCCACTTTAAAATTTCTGGGATTAAAAAAATAATAAATTGTAAACAAGTTTTTTTTTTCTATACCTAAGAGCTACTTCATATGGGAGAGGAACACTAATTTGCTACTTTTCAATCAATAATACAAGGCAACAATTTCTTTACAAATTTTAAATGGAACATTATTGGTAAGTTTCTAAATAATTCCTTTCACAACAGGTTCCAGATTAATTCACCATATTGGAACTTTGCTGATCCAAAGTCTGCTGAAACTGACTCTTTCTTTATTACATATAAATCAATAATGAAACAAAAATGAATAAAAACAAATGTTTAGTCAATGATTGTATGTGTGAAACAATGCAGATTAGAAAGATACATATTCCTTCAAAAAGCTACAATGTGATCAAGGAAAAGACAAATTCATGAACTGTAAACCATAAGCCACCTTTAAAAAAAACTCCTCCATTCTTTCTAAAATACAAAATTAACATCGGTAATTTTCTATTCAAAACTCTTCAATTAAAAACTCTTCAGTTCTTTGCCTAGAGAATAAGTGTAAAATACTTAGAATCCCAGACAAAACCCTCCAAGACTGGATCCCAAGTCTCATCTCCCACCACTCCAAAACCCACACTTTGCCCTCATAACAGTATACAATTACTTGGAATGTGGACAAATGTAAAAACATAGAAGGTGCTTCAAAGCCCCAGGTCTTTGCTCAAGCCCTTCTTGGATCTCTTTGCCTTTACCCAGTACCTCTTCTCCCAACCATTCTTCAAAATACTGCAAGAGGCACATTCTCCATGATCTGCTACTCACTCCCAACTCCCTTGGCTATTTAGATTCCTTCCTCAGAACTATTTGAATACACAGCACCATATGTCTACCTTTATAATAACATCTGGTCACTTTACATTTAAAATTCCATTTACCTGCTTGTCTTCCCCACCAAATTATAAACTTCTCAAGCACAAAGATTTGTTTTATTAACTTTTCTATCCTCAACTTCTGGCTCAAAGACACTCAATAAATGTTGAAATAAATGCTGACATTTACAAAGTTAAACAAAACTAATTTTTAAATTACCTAAGGTGAAGAATAGCACATTGACAACCCAAAGTCAGTGAAATACAAACACTATTATTTCAAGTGCCACTGAAATGTTATTTCCATTTCTCTTGGCATCTTTTCTACATAGCACTGGGCATACATGCAATATAGCAGCTAATAAACCTGTTTTCAGATAACTTTGAAGCCAAATTACTACATTACATGTTTACAAGTCTGAAGATTACTATTTCCCTATAAAATTATGCAATCAGGTGTGTTATAACTGAGATGCAGCCACTTTTAACGTTTGGGGATAAAAATAACTTTTTTTTTTTTTTTTGCCACTTCAGCATTTAGGTTCAGGTTCAGTGGCATAAGTGGAATCAAAAGGTGACATAATTTCTTTTTTCTCCTAAAGGAGATCAGAACACCACATGCTTCCTCAGTCTCATAATAGCGTTTAAAATTCTTTAATGGAGCAGAAATAAAAGTTATTTTGAACTTCTTTTAAAAATTACCTGAAAGAACAATACCTAGTAAATACTATTTGAATGTTGCTCATGGCAATGAGAATGTAATGAAAAGATTCAGTGGTCAAAGTAAATTTCATCTTTACCAGATTCATGAAAACTTAGGGTTGAAAGGACTCTTAACAGATCATTCATGATAACCAACCATTTGACAGTTGAATTCCCCTCTGTAATAACTCCATTAAGGTGCTATCAGATTCATTCAAACACTGCTAAGGCCTGGGGAACTCATTACCTTCTGAGACAGGCGAATTTATCCAGGATACTCTGTTATGAAGCACTTCCTTCACAGAAAATTGTTTACCTCTAGCTTGTACCCACGGACGCTAGCTGTAGCCCATTGAACCTTAAAAAAAACAAGTCTAATCCCTCCAACATACGACAGACGTTCGAACGATTAATGGATATTACTACCCTCAAGGTCTTGGCCAGCTAAACAACCACAACAGCCTGAAATTATTCTTATGACATCGCTTCTGGTTCCTTTTCCATAAATGGACTCCAAATTATCTTCAAGAATTGAATACAGAGCTCCAAAGCGTGAACTGATAAGAACCTGGAGGTACTCTTTCCTCACAGGGAACGTTATGCCACGTTTACATACCTCATTCGTTGGAAGATACCCTCCATTTTTGGTTTAACCGAGAAAGAGCGCTCAAAAAAGGGAATACAGGCCACCGAGATTACAGGCTCTGGGCCTACCGGAGTAATCACAATACCCCACGCTCACCCACTTTTTGGCCAACAGTTGGAATCAGAAGGAACTCAGAAGCAAATGACATCTCTCCTCTCAAGTCACTGGGGAAGCTGAGAAAGGAAGAAACCCACACAGTCACCCGCCCAAGGCAGAAAGGTGCAGGATGGGGTGAGAGACTCAACACAGGATTAAAGTCTAATGTTTTTCGAATGTGTGCTTGGGCCCAGGGCGGAGAAGTATCTCGTCCCCCTTTTCATTAGCGTGGGAAAGACAGGTGCGGTGACAGCAACACATCCTAAAAATCCAGCTCTAAACCTGGTCGACAGGAGTGGAGATCGAGGAGATGAGAGGCGGTTTGTGGAGAGGTTGTTGGTGTGAGAGAGGTGAGCAAGGACCGACGACTCGAGATTCGGATTTTACCTTCACATTTCTGCTCCACGAAGTCCAAGATGGGGATGGACCAGTCCGGGCCCCGCAGGAACCCCGCGATGCTCTCCACCACCCATTCCACCTCGTCCTCTTCTTCCGCGGCCATTCCGCCCCCGCGGGGCGCCGCGGAAGCCTAGGCCAGATCCCCGGATCCTAGAAGGCCTTTCGGCCGCAGAGAACCGAGAGGAAACAGGGGAACGAAGTGCCCCCGCAGTCTCCGCAGTCACCTGGCTGAAAGCTACAAACCACGTAACGTAAAACGGTCGCTATGGCAACAAGCGGAGCCGCCTCCGGCAGCCGCCCGGAAATGAAGCCAGCTTCCTCGGAGCCTGCGCAGCTTAGAAAGAGGCATATGAAGAACGTTTCCGATTGGCTGGGAAGGGAAAGATAGCCTTCCGCCCATTGGCCCGACCTGCTGGTAGCGCTGACTTGTAGCCATTGGCTGGAAATCCAGGAATCTCAACGTTGCCACAGAAGTGCGTGGGACCAAGGATTAGAAATGGCGCCACGAAAGCCCGTCTCACCTGGTCTCTAACTGAAAAGGTTTTAAAGGCTTCAGTTCACGGCTGTATCCCCACCGCTCACTCCCGACCATTTTCCGACCCGCTGAGCCAGAAACGTTTGTAATTGAAAAGTTGTTTGTTTGAAAATACAAACCCGAGGAAAGTAGCTCTGTTAAGATTTGCTGATTGTCCCAGCGTCAGTTTGCATCCCGTAGCTGGCGGCGGGTCTTTATGGCGTAGATAGAAATAACTAGAATTAGGAATTTTTCAGGAGTAAAATCAGTCAGTGTTCCTTTAAATAAATGTCTAAGTAATCAACCCTTAATGTTAAATAATACTAACTACTTTTAGCTTGGAGTCCTTTAGCGGAATCTTTCTTCAAAGATCTCTGCCAGGGTACTTGGCATCCCAAAATATTTTCAAACAACTCTGTATGTATTTACATACATGGGATCATATGTACAGTTAGGAAACTTTGTTCACTTAGTATAGTCATCTGTACATGTAAACATAAAATTGTCGTTTCTTTACAGCTACATGATATTCTATAAGCTAGCGTTTTTAAATTCATATTTCATGTATATACGAACAGTGGACTCCCCTGGTGGCTCAGTGGTTAAGAATCCGCCTGCCAATGCAGGAGACGTGGGTTCAATCCCTGGGTAGGGAAGATCCCCTGGAGATGGCAATCCACTCCAGTGTTCTTGCCTGGGAAATCCTATAGGTAGAGGAGCCTGGAGGACTACAGGGTCACATAAGAGTCAGACTCAAGTTAGATTAAACAATAACAAATATACACACAGTATCTTACTTGGATGCATAGATGTGATTAGTGTGCCGTTTTTTCCTCCCTCCATAGTGTGGATGTATGTACCATGCCATTTTTCCCTTCTATAAACAGCTGAAATGAACATCTTTGTGTCTCTAAGAACTGTTGGTTTTATTGACTATTCCAAGGGATACAGCCTAGCAGAATTGCTAAGTGAGAGAGTATATATACCTTGATTTATGTGACCAATCCTCAATTGCTAGATTCATTTCTTCAGTTTCTTAAATAACAATTCTGTAATGAAAACACATATACAAATTTTTCAACTCTAGTCTCATTGTTTACTTTGGATAAATTCCCAAAGGAAAGATTTCTGAACCTATTTTTAAAAACCTTTTTGAAAAATACCTTTACCAATCTACTAGGTTAAAGATGATACATAATTTGCATTTTCAAATTTGAACATCAGCTTTATTTCATGTTGATTAGTCTTTGGTTTCTTCCTGTGTTATTTTTCATATCTTTTGACCATTTCTTATTGGGATTTATTTTTCTCATTGATTACAAGAATTTTAACTTTTCATCACATGTTGCAGTGACACATTGTCATTTGTCTTTTAGTTCACTGTGTCTTCTGCCATATAGAAGTTTCATATTTTTTATGTAGACTTTAAATGGTAGCCAGTAAGTTATTAATAGTTATTTTCCTTAATGGATAGCCATGTTCCAAATATCACTTACTAGAAATGGGTGTGGTAAATTGTGGTGATTTTTTAATACTGAGAAGAGGTAAAAGGAAAGAAGGACGTCATTTTTGGGGAGCCAATATATTGTGACACCATCAGTGGATTACTATGGTTTATTGCTCTCCTTTTCTGTCTTCTAAAGCAGCTTAAAAGAGAAAGCCCACTTCTATTTGCCAATTTCTTCCTTTCATGAAAAAGTTACTTGTAAGATTTCTAATGAGCCTGAAGGCCACAAAATTCTGTCCAACTGAACTCAGCATTACCTGGCATTAGGGTCTTTAGTCTCAAGTGCTTTCAAGTTCCACTCAAAGAGATAATAACTGGAATGTACAAACTCTCCTTTCACTTATTTTCTCAGCATCATTCTTATTTTTTTTTAGTATTTATTCATTTGTTTTATTTGGCTGCATCAGGTCCCAGTTGGGACAGGCGGGATCCTGTGTCCTGGCTGGCTGGCAGGCTTAACGGCCCCAACCATGTGGGATCTTAGTTCCCTGATCAGAGGCAGAACCCCAGTCCCCTGCCCTGGAGGGTGGATTCTCAGCCACTGAGCCACCAGGGAAGTTTCTTAGTGTCTTTCTTGAATGTGGCCAATGTGAATTCCCTCAGGCCTGCAAGCTTTCTCATTTATTTCAAAACATTGTATTAATGCAATTTTCTCCTCAAAATGTAAAGATTTCCTTTTTATTCAGTCCTTGGGACTTTTATAAGCAGGATATTTAATGTAATATATTCAATATGCTTATCGTGAAATAAACACAAACTCCAAAGAACAGTGCTCATACTCTTAGGGCAATGCAGGTGGATGCCCTGAAGTAAGAAAGTAAAGGAAAGGTGGTGTGTGTTGTGCATTTTACCATATATCACTTTGTTCAGCCAAGTAGTGTTTTTCATGTTTTGCAGTTCTGCACAGCATAGTCTCTCTTGATAAAAATCACAACTTCTCATTTTGGCAATTTGGTCTGCTACAGATGAACAAATTTTCATATTGAATTTGTGTTTTGTTTTTGTTTTTTTGTTATTTTATTTTTTCCCAATTATTTTTATTAGTTTTAGGCTAATTACAATATTGTAGTGGTTTTTGCCATACATTTACATGAATCAGCCATGGATTTACATGTGTTCCCCATCCTGAACCCCCCTCCCGCCTTGCTCCCCATCCCATCCCTCTGGGTCATCCCAGTGCACCAGCCCCGAGCAGTTGTCTCATGCATCCAACCTGGACTGGTGATCTGTTTCACACTTGATAATATACATGTTTCGATGCTGTTCTCTCAGATCATCCCACCCTCGCCTTCTCCCATAGAGTCCAAAAGTCTGTTCTATACATCTGTGTCTCTTTTTCTGTCTTGCATATAGGGTTATCGTTACCATCTTTCTAAATTCCATATATATGCGTTAGTATACTGTATTGGTGTTTATCTTTCTGGCTTACTTCATTCTGTATAATGGGCTCCAGTTTTATCCATCTCACTAGAACTGATTCAAATGCATTCTTTTTAATGGCTGAGTAATATTCCATTGTGTATATGTACCACAGCTTTCTTATCCATCCGTCTGCTGATGGGCATCTAGGTTGCTTCCTGAAGTTGTGTTTTGTAATGGAAAAGACCAAAATAGGTAATAAGCATACCCATGTAAGTATACACACACACATACACATATATTTACAGTACCTTTACATGGAGTTGATGAGGTTTAATTAGAGAACACTTGGGACCATGTGTTGGTAAGTTAGGAAATGCTCGATATATGTTAGCTATTATTGTTATATGTAAGTTACATCTTCTTTAACATCTTGCATTCTCCTTGTCTCCACTGACTAGTCAGTTGTGATCTTTACTGCAGTCTTACTGAAATCTCTTGGTTCTCTCCATCCCTTTGTGGGAACTGAACCTCTCCCTTACTAAAGGGTTATAAAGTTCAGTCTTACAGAGAAGGAGAAATATCATATGACATCCCTTATATGTGGAATCTAAAAAGAAATGATACAAATGAACTTAAAAACAGAAAGACACTCACAGACTTCAAGAAGGAGCTTAGGAGTGCCTAAGGGAAGGGATAGTTAGGGAGTTTGGGATGGACATGTGTACACTGCTATATTTAAAACAGATAACCAACAGGGAGCTACTGTATAGAACTGGAAGTTCTGTTCAGAGTTATGTTGCAACCTGGATGGGAGGGGAGTTTGGGGGAGAATAGATACATGTATATGTACGGCTGAGTCCCTTTGAGTTCACCTGAAACTACCATAACATTGTTAATTGGCTATAGCTCAATACAAAATAAAAAGTTTAAAATTTGAAAATAGGAATTCTGATGAAAGAAAAAATAGCAGATAAACCAAAGCACAGCATTTATGTTCTCATTTTTATCACTAATTAATTGATTATCATTATTAAATAATTTTCTTTAAAATTAAAAAAAATGATCAAAACTCCCCCCAAAAGTTCCATCTTAACAAGATAATTTTTTTTTGTCAAGATTGTTGTTTAGTTGCTAAGTCGTGTCTGACTTTTTTTTTTAACTTTTTTTTAATTGAAGGATAATTGCTTTACAGAATTTTGTTGTGTTCTGTCAAACATCAACATGAATCAGCGGCATTTCTATATAATTTTATTTATTTTGTTTTTGGCTGTGCTGGATCTTGGTTGCTGTGCAGGCTTTTTCTCGAGGTGCGGAGAGCAGAGGCTCCTCTCTAGTTGTGGTACTGGGGGCTTCTCACTATGGTGGCTTCCTTTGTTGCTCAGCATGGGCTCTGGGGCAAGCAGGCTTCAGTAGCTGCAGCTCAGTAGTTGCGGTTCCCGGGCCCCTAGAGCACAGGCTCAGTAGTTGTGGCACAAGGGCTTAGTTGCTCAGAGGCAGGTGGGATCTTCCCAGACCAGGGACTGAACCCGTATCTCCTGCATTGGCAGGCAGGTTCTTTACCACTGAGCCCCCATTCCTCCAGGTTTCTCAGGGACCCTGTACTAACAACTACTTACATTTGTATAGTACCTCATAGTCTACAAAGGAATTTATGTCTGTTTGACTCAGGACAACCTTAAGAGCTAAGTGAAGATGGTATTAAGGTTCGCCTTACAGATGA